CCATGCGCTATGTTTAATGTGCTAATGGGGCACCCCAAGGTTGGTTGAGATAGAGTATAAAGAAACGGGCATATGCTGGAATGTACAACTCAACCGAACAGCAAAATTGCTCAAGTAAATTGCTCAAACAAATTAAGCTTCTGCATTTATCCCTATTTTCCCTAGCTATACAATTCTTCTGGGCGGTACATCACCAACAGCCACTTCTCTCCCAATTACTCAACTTAAAGTGAAGCCGTCTGGCTTAACAGCATTTTGCTAAGATGATAACCGATTCTCCCTTTTCTTCCCTCTCTCCCAGATACTAGGTAACCTCACAGATTAATTACGGCATCATTGGGACTTTATGTTTATTTCGGTATACAGAGGGTTATGGCTTGCTGCTGCTGAAGACTCCTCTAACAGAATCCAAAGATTTACAAACCATGCACAACACACATTTTAAAAAAAATCCCAGGCATGCAAGAGGCAATACCATCCCCTAGAGTTCCCTGAACATCTCACTTCTCACTAGCTACAGTTGCAAAGTAAAAACTAGAAAACATGAAATAAGAGAAAAATATTCTTTTTGCTTGTATGTAAAGGAAGGAAATAGTGATAACTTTAGATATGCCATGTGAGAGAGACTTGGCAGAGTAATTATTTGCCAGAGATAAATACTTCTACTTTGTAATTCTTAGGTTCAAAATATATGCAACTAAGGATCTTAGGTCTAAATAATATAATGTAGCTACTCCTGAGACTGGCTGGCAGAGTGCCTACATCCCCATTACAAACCAAAATGTTAGCCTTCTTTTACTGAAGTAAAAAGGAGCAATCTTATCAAAATACTCGCTCAGAGCTCTGCAGCCAACGATGGAGCTAAAAGAAGCAGCACGGAAGCACATCCTTAAATGCCTTTTGGACCTACCAGTGAATGATTTTTTCAAAAAAACCAATATAAGTAAATACCATAGATGTGCTGGTATACAGGTGTTTTCTTCTGCTGTGAAGCAGCCCAAACTGTACATTCTCCATCCTACCAGCTTCTATAAAATAGTTGACAAAAAAATTAGCAAGTCTGTTGCAGAGCTGGAAGGTCGTGCACCTACCGGTGTAACAGTCTTTGGGCTCTCGTCAGGAAAGGTGCAAATCTCCACGAAATAATGGCAGCTGAGAGTTTCCAAAAATTCATAGAATTGGACTTACAATGCTCCACGGAAAGTGAAAATCCCAGTTAATGATGTAAACTGCCTACAGCAACTGGCAAACAGAAGAGAAAGACACTAGGGTGCTTTCAGGTCTTTGTTACAGCAGATTTCATCACTTTCTTGACAATCTTTACTCAAGACAGGGTACACGCTGCCCACTATGCACCAGTGGAAGAATTCTTCCTTTCTGATTGTTTGTATGTTCAAAGACACGTATCTTCAAAGACACTTTTTCAATATACAGTTTGGGATTATTTGTATGTTCTCACATATTTTTGAAAATACAAGCAATCAGAAAGCAAGAATAATTAACTGGTTTTGCCGCACCTAACTCTGTAATTCTTATCATTCCTTAATTACGAAAATAGTGTATCAAAAGGTAGGGGAAAAATAGGAATTCAAACAACTATTAAATCCCTTCTTTTTAGAACAGGAAAAACATTTAGATTCAGCAAGTTCTCACTAGAAATATTGCTATAAAGTATTGATTTTTTACCAGACTCAATTGACTGAAAAGTTGTTTGTATAGCAATATTGGCCAAGCCAATATACTGGAACAATTTTGCTACACACAGTAATCAAGTGTATTTCTAAAGTATAATTATACTGTCATAAAAATAAAGCTAAGATACCTCTTCTCCAAGCAATAAAACAGTTGCAGCTGTAAAGAACCCAAATAAATGAAATACATTTTCTAACTAAACATAGTGTCTTCCAAAGAGAACAAAACCACCTCCTCTCTCCCCCCTTAAGCCAAGGTTAGCATGAAAAGTGATCAATACTTCAATCTCAATAAACTATTTCAATAGTAGTTAATTCACGTGGAAAGAGAGGCTGAAAATTTTTGCTCAGCGACCTGCGACACGCTATCTTGTTTGCTGAATGCTGATAATATATCATTGCCATAATGGATATAACTTAGTATAAAGAGCTAGAAAGGAAGAAAAAAGATACCACAGACACGTTCGTTCTTTAGATTCAGATCAATACTACACACAGCCTCTTCTGAAACAAACCAACAGCATGGAATGCTGGAAGAGGAAAACAGCCAAACGTTTGCAATTCATTTCATTTGACAAATGTTCATTGATTTACTGGAATAAAATATATGTGGGCTGCTACCCATGACTAGTGCAATCCAGCTACCTGTAAGTATTCCATTTTGCAATTTCTTATTGGCTTGTGTAGCACAGATGCTCCTTTGGCGAGGGAGAACAGGCTCCCCGTTACGAAGGGGTGATTGTTCCAAGGTAGGAAGTCCTGTGTGCTTTGTCCAAAGCGCATCACCACGGCGTGGTAACTGCAAACTCCCTGCAACAACGGCAACCAGCAGCCCTCCAGGGATGGGAGAGTGAATTGGTACAATTCTTCAATCCATCGCACCAAGAAACAAATTTGGGAAGACCCGAGAGGAACGCACAGCTCAGAAGCCTTTTGGGAGAAAACCGTATTTGATATTTATATTCTGCTATTGTTTGCATCGGAAAGAAAGTCAAACTTCAGGAAAGTGTAAAACATCTACATGTAAAAATGGTGCACATTCCCTGGAGCAGTGCAGAATGACACTTGCACTAGAGAAAATACTGTGAAGTCACTGCAACTGCTAATTTAAAATATGAACGCAATAAAAAGGAAAAGGAAAGGTAGAAATATTTTCGTGATACAGAAGAGGGCTTATGTTTTTACAGGTAAAATTTTTTAATTCCCCAAATTGCAGGCAAATGCAACACAACCACTTAAACGAAGCAGATCACACCATCGGCCCGCACAATGCAGCAAATCAATGTAGAAGAAGTGTCAGAAGTATTATGCATTCCCTCCTGCACTATTATCCTCTGCACCTTGAGTGTTCACATCTCCTTCATCATTCCTGCAGACTCTTACTAAAAGCAGTAGTCACCACAAGAGAAAAACATTTTTTGTAAAAATGTTAAACCAAAAGCAGGCATGTAACTATACTACCCTTCGGAAACACAAAAAGAAGTCAAAAGGTGGAAGCTTGGCTTCACGCAGCATTTTATCCAAATTTCCTGTATGAATTTTATGAAATGTGAAGTACACACTATGCACGTGGCAATATTATAGAAAAATGAGACATTTTTGTACCGCCTTCTGCGTCTAAAAGCACTGTCTTGTCGTACGGACCACGCGCACACAGCGGATGTGGAATGGAGCTGTTCCTTGTGAGTAGGGCAGACACAAGCTGACCAACAGACATTAAGTTCAGCAGATCCGTAGTGCAAAGATTAGCAAAGCACATATTCACTTGCCTCGGTTTCCATTCCTTAGACTTTGGCCACTGGCTGCTGTAAGGCACAGGATGAAGGGGAGAGACTTTTGGTACGACCTGGTATGGCCTTCTTAGGCAGCTCATGATTTTGCATTGCTAGCTCCTTATTTCAGCTATTTCTCTAAAGAAAATAACCCCAAACTGGGTAACAATGACACACGCGAGTTCCCTCACTTTGTGGGATATTCCTTTTCCCTAACTGAGCCTCAAGTGCCTTCCACAGGGATCAGAGCACGTGGCCCTCCTTTGCAACGCTTCTCCCACCTCCATCCGCTCCCGGAGCCTCCATCAGTACATGGGGTAGGGAAGCAACCTTCTCTAAATCAGAAAACACCAAGAAGTCACTGACTGAGCTGTGAAGTTCAACACTCTCTTCTCAAATCTTTCATATGGTAAAGTAAGAAAAGAACAGTTTTTGCAAGTTTCTTGGTCTAGGAATATCTTTCTACAAGAGAACATCAATGAGATTTCTGAACGGCGTTCCATCTACAAGGCCAACCTGATTTTTGAAGAGCCCATTCAAGGACTAGATTTGTCCCTTTAAGGTTTTGGGAGTCCGTTTTCGTTAAACCTTCTACAAGGAGACCAAAGCTAGTCGTTTTGCAATGTTGGCAGCCAATTAGAAACTAAACTAAATGCACCGTAGCTTTTAAAACATTTAAAAAAATTGTTAATATCAAAGTTAAAATGTCTAAGGTATAAACAAAATCATAATGGGATGCTGGGTTACTGTATATGGTAAATAGCTCTCTGGAGGAAACCTTTATTACTCCCTCAGGGCTTTCTTACAAAGTATGGATTTCTTAATTCCTAGTGGAATATTTTTCATACACCACTGCAGACTATTAAGTACCAGATATTACATTATGTAGTTTAAACTTTGTACTATGCATGAGAAAGACTTTCCTGTCGAGAAAACTATATCTCTGCTATTATAATCTTTACAATATTAAAATTAATACTGGCTGCAGGGTATAAGCTTCACTACCAAAATTTGGGGGAGTTTATCATTTAATATATTCATCAGCCTGTGCGTGAAGCTGCTCATAAGGGAGGGAAGTCACTGCGACAGCAAAAGGGGTATTTACTAATTTTGAATTGCTAGAGAAAGGCAGAGCAATGGTGTCATCGCATCCCACTGGTGTCATTCTCAGTGCTGGGCTAGCAAAGGGCGTGGTGAGCCAGCAAGAATAATGGCATTGCAAATACTGAAGGCAATTCATTATGCTTCAGGACGTTTCAAGTTCCACTTGTGAACCATTAACTTGTTACCCAGGAGGGATTCAAAGCCAAGTATTAAAAAGATAATAAAAATGCACCAGCCCTCACGGCACCCAAAAACAGATACCTTGTAAATATGTAAAGAGAATTCTTAAAAAGTTTATATTAAGAATTGCTTTTATAATCTCTGCACAGCAGCAACAGCCCACCTATATCTCACTACAAATATGAAGGGGGGGGAGGGAAGAAGCACTGTTAAATTTTATTTTCAAAAATTTTAAGTGAAATTCAACACTCACTTGTAGACTGTGCCTCCATTGCCATGACCGAGGATGTCTCGATACCGTATGTCTTGTTCATTCATCTCCACAAGAAAGAAAGAAAAACAAAAGAGATGTCATGCTGTGGATGGAAATGTCAAGGAAAAGCAACTCTAGGCCATAAACAACAAGCAGTCTGGGTCATTTCAAGTTCAGCTGCAAGAACGAGAAGATCAATACAACATTTGCTGTCCAATTTATAAAAGACGATACCAAGGGACAAAGTGATGGAAAGTTTAATGACAATTTGTTTGCCTGGGTCATTTCATTAAAGTTTGATAAAAGGTGTCAAAATGGAATGATATAATATAGCTCAAGAGGGTCAGGTCACAGATACTGATAGGAAAAGGGTCTCCAGAACAGCACATAACCAAAGCCAAAGTTGGAGGTGAATGGAAACAATCCAACAGAAAACTGTCATCTTAAGTATGGCTAGAAAAGTTTATGATTTATTCTGGAATCAGCATAATTGATACTAATTGAGTGACACTTCTGTCAGTAGGATTCCTTTGTAGTGCTTAATTTATGTATCTTTTAACTAAAGCAAATATTCTGGGGGAAAAAAAAAAAAAAGAGTCTTGAATTGCTATCCAAGAAAAATAAATTTTCTTGAAATACACAACTAATTGCTTGCCTCAATCTTTCTGCTCACTGGGACAACTCTCCAGATATGACGATATCCTCAGATATTTGAGCAGAAGCCTGATACAAGCACTGTACGTTGCAAATGCTGGAATTCAGGATCTTTCTGATATGGGTTTTATAAAAGCTTATTATACATCACCTTGCTGGATGAGCAATTCAAATGTAAAACTACAGTTCAACCTTCTCCTGTATAAAGACAGTTATACTGATCCCCCAGCTAAACCACCTATTTTAAAAAAAAAAATCACTACAGACATTTTTGGAATGCACATGCATACTTGAAATTATTTTAATGAGAGTAAATTCTGGGCTGCATGCATTTGCTATTCCAAAAAGATCTCCCTGCATTGCCTGATCATTGTAAGTAATAAACGTCTGGGTGAATCCCATTTTTAAAAGATGTTTTCCTAGGAATTTGTTACCAAATCATTAACTTGCTTCTAATTAACTGTTTCCATTTGATGGGTTACCAAGTTAAACATTTCACATGAGTTGGCGTGGCTGCTTAAAGACTTTCTGTCATTTTTGTGCGTTAAAAGGCACCAAAAAACCCCTAATGATATGCCTGGTCTGCTATCACTGATGTGATTAGAGATCACGTAAGCACATCTAAGAGAGCTTCAAATTAGCTGTTTCAAGTACCACGAGCACCATGGTGAGAGCCACGCAGACCTCGCCGTAAGCTAACTATCTGTATTTACCCAACTTCGGAAACGGCTTTTAAAATTCAGCGGGGACACGTGCCCTTCAGTTACTAAGCCATGTTTAAGCATCCCCTTTCATAGGATGTCAGTGAAGATAAGAGGAACTTTGCCCCTGGCTTCAGCTGGAACACGTAAGTGATGGTAACAAGCTGAAATGCCCTAAAGAGTCAATATTCAGCATGTCTTACAAACAGAAAATGGAATATTTAATTGATTTAAAATAATACGTTTTAAGGACAGAAATTATCAACGCCAAAATTTGTGCTCTTTCCTTTCACTACCTGAATAAAAAGCATGCTTGTGTCTCACAGGGAACACTTTTCCTCTATGCATTTCTTCCAGTGAGGTCAAAATCTCCGAGTTCTGAGAAAATTCAAAATACCTCAAAGCAGAAGTTGACTCTACATTACTACCTGTTTGTTTGTAGTTAAACCTGGGCCAGATATCTTAAGAGGGTATGAAACGGCCCATTCAAGTATCAAGGTTTACGATGCAAATGAAAATTCATTTTACTACCGAAAGCTATCTTTCTTACTGCAACAATCAGAAAATGCAAATAAAGGGGGGGAAAAAAAGACACTTCATAAGGAACAACAATTCACAAATGGGTTGTAAAATATGTAAAGAATCTGTACTGGATTCCTTGCTCTAAACGTAACTTCTCTCAGACTGCAGTACTCATTAATTTAAAGCACATCCTGTGTTTAAGGAGTTGTGCTCTCCGAAGGTGGAGGACTTTAATTCTCCAGTCTTTGAGGTAACAACAAACGCCTCTTTCCTCTATTCCCAGCGACGTTCTTATAAACAAAACTCTTTAGAGAAATCAAATGCATCCACAGAGCTATGAACTTACTTGTATCTTTGCTTCTTGGGGGGGAAAAAAGCAGAATTTTTTGGTAGTTACACAAGTTATAAGCAACAAATTGAGCAGAACCAGAGACATAAAGCGTATTCTCTTTTCTCCTCCTTTTTGCTAACTGGTGAAAGGACAGCATTTTCTTCCCGCCATTCCCTAAAAGCCAGCGACAGGCGCAGCCGTACTGTGATGCTGCACCGCTTGCACCCGCTGGAGCCCAGCACCAGTTCTTGTCTCTAGGCACAAAGAGCAACCAGAAACCCAGGGTGAAACAGCAAGGCTGGGGTGGAACAAGTATCTGCCAGCAACCGATAGAGAGATAAAGGGTGATTTACTGGCTCAAATAAAGATGCCAAAAACATGTGGTGATTTATTTATTTTACTGGGAAAACTGGATTCTCAATCATAAAATGATAACATAATAACAATGAACTTGCCAGTATGGACTGGAATATTAAACCTGCAAAACCAAGTTTGATCGGATGCCAATACTACCAGAATTAATGAAAAAGCAAAACAGACTTCAATTACGGATCAGCAAACAAAACATCCCTTGCTTATACCCGCTGTTTTTGAAAGAAATCAACGTCTATCTCTTGTAAATCATTAAAACCAAAATGCTCAATTAATCCTTATTTTATATGTAGAGGCCTGACAGAGGCAAAGTCCTATAGCCATACCTTTGCTTTACGAATCGAAGCAATAATGGTTTCAGAAAGCAGTCACACTCTATGAGCAGACAATTGAAGAGATTTAGTAAATCCCACTTTATAGAGCAGAGACTAATCGGAAAACACAAGCCAGTCAAATGTTTCTTATGAACTGTTGACACTATATCAATGCTGAATCAATTGGTGGCATTTACTCTGAGTGACAGAAAAGAAATAAATATTTATATCGCATCACCTATATCAATGAACCTAGGCAGAAAGCTATTTCTAACCTGTCAATATTTGATTATCTTGAAGAATCATGTCCCCTTCTTTTAATGATTAATATGAATTCCTTATTAAACCTAAATGGAAACTACTAGAGGAATATCATTATGAACGCCTGAAAGCATAAACTGCCAAAAAATAATACAAAATAATAACCCAACACATATTTAAGTAATGATAAGTGTGACTTAATCCCCCCAAAGGAGGCAAAGTTAAAGTTACAACTAGAAACCTATTTCCAGTTACGGATCTGTGACCAAATTTTGCAGAACACAATGCAGCATAACAAAAAGCTTTTTCTCTCGACAGAAAGCAGTGTAACTCCTATCAGAGCAGTGTCACTAAAAGGTAGTATTAAAACTTATTATTTTCTTTTTTTTAATGGGTTTAAGTAACATTTTTTTAATATCATAGTAAGAGTTTTGGTTCCTTTGTATCTTTCCAAAATTCTACTACGCAGGAAAGAAGTCTGTAACAACGTATGGCAGGGCACACAAAATACTCATTTCTATTACTTAGAACAAATAGAATGCCAAATACAGCTTATGGACTCCATCACAAAAAGATGTGATTTACAAAGATTTACTCACATTCGGTAATTCTGCTTTAAAAAAAAAAAATTAGCAATATTGGAGTAATTATCAGCTTCATTTTAAAAGTTCAGATGCATGCTGCTGGTACTTACACAATTTGAAGTTATCCAGAGAAATATATTGCTTAGCTACAATTTTGAAACATTACCCAATCTACCTGGTAGGAACCTGTGAATATTAAACTGCGTCTGCACGTAAGGAACGCTGACAAGCTTAAAAATACATTTCCAAGCTGTATTCAAAGGATTCGGTGCCAAGCAGGCAAGGCTGCGATACCGGGCTGTTCGACTCACATTTTAGAGGGGCACCCTCATCTATTAGACCACAATGTTACAGGTGATACTGAAGGACAAGCATGAAGACCTGCCTTTATCTTCTTGACACGCTCAACTACAACTACTTGATTCATGAAATGCCAATGAGGCTTGGAGAGGTCATTGTGTGAAGGCACTGAATACGCATCTGAGATAATTAAGATTTCAGCCTTCGAAACATGGAGGGGAAGTGAACAGCAGTTAAGAAAATCAATAAGAGTCTTTTATTTGCAGTGACACAGATGTCTCAGTCAATAGAGCCTAATAGGCAAGCTTGATCGCAATGGACAGGTGCCTGCCTCCAAGGCTATCAAAGGGCTTTCACTATGACAAACATTAAAACATATTTATGTTGCTGCTGAGGAATCCGAGATTCTTTTAAGGTAGTTTAATGTAACGGTGTATATTTAATGGCATTATGCTACCGCAAGCCTGCCCACATGTTCAGCTCAAAATGGGTTTCAGCTCAAAAACGATTGCTCCGTTTGTCCAGGACATTCATTTGCCCATCAATTGTTATATTAAACCTTTCACTTCTGGGTGCCAGAATCTGAATGCCTGGAGCAGGAAGAGAAAGTAACGAGACAGCTTTCCACAACTTTGGGGGTTTTGTTTTGGCTTCATTTTGTTCGTTTGTTTTTGTTAAAGAAGCTACAACATAAGGTGATTCCAAATATTACAGAGCCCTTCCTTGCAAGAACCTGCTAAATATTTAAGTATCTACTGCCCTAAAAAATACGAAGGTCACTCTAACTCAGCAGTTGACTTAGTTATTCAAAATTGATTAACTTTCTTCCCTGAAATTGTGGCAGCAGCGCAACATGTGTGAGGTACTTCAATCTACCTGGAGCTAAATCTGATTAGCACATTTTGAGAAATGGGAAGCAAATTGCTATGCCAATCAAAGTAAATCAGGACACATAACTCATTCATATCATGAAGGTTTTCATGGTCCCTCCAGTTCTGTATTAAAAGAACACATTACAGCGAAATGAGCAGTAAGCATCTCTCCACCTATTTCTGGTATGCCAGTCACTGCAGTATTAGGCAGTAACGAGATGTGCATGTAGCCAAGACTCAATTCAGCGCACCTACCTGGCCATTTGCAAGTATTTTCTTCAGCTCTGCAGAAGACTGTTTTAAGCTGGGGGAAAAAAAAAAAAAAAGGCAATTCTTTTTAATGACTGCCATTTCACCCCATAAAATGAAGTGAAACCATAAGAAACAACAAGCCATCAGGTTAAGTTCATGGTTACATATTCTGAATAGATTTGACTTTAGCAATGCTGACTGATGCTCAGTATAGCTACTCCTCAAACCGCAGACAGCAGAAATGGAGAAGCAATGAACGCTGAAGAAAATCGATGTATTTTTCACCTTTACAAACTAGCTTTTTTAGATACCTGACTGTCCTACCCTTTGAGATACAACCTATTGTTTGCCAGTTCAAAGAAAAAAAAGAAAAAAAAAAGATACCCTCACACCCCAGGTATTTCAAAAAACAGCAGGAAAATAAGATTCACATCTGGTTTAGAGGTGCCTTATCTTGTTTTAAAACCCTTTAAGGCATTATCCCTCAATAACTTCTACAAATCTGCAGCAGAAGGGTGTGCCGTCGATGATGCCTCACCACCTCAGCTGACCACAGACCGGAGCGCGGTGAGCGGGCGAGTACAACTCCGGATTCCGGCATCTCCGGGACATGCCTAAACACTGAGGGGCGTCAGTCCAGATTACCATGTGCATCCATTCCAGGTCAACCTGCTGCTGCCATCCCTGGGCTTTTTCAGGAGAAACTACTCCTGTGTCAGTAGTCTTACATTAGGCAAAATGACCCATATTATTTTTTTTCTAGTAAGAGAACTTTAACAAACCACAACTATCAGCTTGGGTGTGTTTTGTAGGTAAAAGTATTAATGGCTTCAAACTACTTCCACCCACTTGCAAAATACTGCTTCACCTCCTTTCCTGACAAACTCTGTTCCTTGTACCTTCAATACAACAAACTGCCTGGATAGAAGTAGGTCTGCAAAACTTAATCTCAAAGAGACATTCTGCTCTTATTACTGAAGTTAAAAAAAAAAAGTACAAAATAATATATTCTTGAAAGGCATGTGCACGTGTCTTGATCACAGATCATTATTAACAAGAACAGTGAAAACACAGATTTCATATTTGGTGGCTTTGTTCTTTAATAGGCCTCTTGTTCCCACGACTACTTTAAAGAAAAATTAAGTTTTCCAAGGAAACATAAGTTGATCTTGTCATCTTTCATGACTAACAATTTGTGAACATGAAACAAAGAGAGACTTTCAATTACTTCAAAAACAAAACTCATAGTGCAGAAGGTTTTGGAAAAGGAATGGCAATTAACCACCAAATAAGGTGACAAGAATCTTCTAGAAGCCTCCTTTTCAACGCACTTTAAGAACAAGCTCAAAGTACGGGAAGTACTGAAAGCCAAAGCACAACAGCGACAGAAAGCAGCTTTATTTAGTTCAGCGGTACGATAGATTGGGAGGAGGACTGCAGTTCATAAAGACATTCAGATTTATTTTCTTTAAAGAGTCTTGGACAGGATCTTCACCATTGCAATACGCAGCAAATGTTCCCCAAGGGATGGGGGCAAATGTTGCCAGAGGAGATGGACACAGGGTATCGGCTTTCTATTTTTATCTCTACAATTAGCAAAGCCACTAAAGGCAGCATCGAAATTGGTTTTAGGGGTACTTGAATGGGGCTACCCACTGTAGCACAACTCCAGCACTGCTGCCAACCACGTGTGGTGGCACCCTCCTTGTCAACGGGCAACCACGTCACATTGCACCCATCATGCAAAGACAAGGTTGGGGGACAGTCCCACCACTGCAGCACTTCGCGGTGTCTGCCAGAACGGGCAGCGCCGCTTCACCAACCGAACATCCTTAATGCAATATGATTGCGTCTTTGATCATGTTCATGTCTGTCAATTTTTTTTTTTCAAAATGCTCTCAGAGAGAAAAGGGAGCAGCACGCTGATGCACGGATAAATGTAATATTATATGCTTATTAGAATAATAGAATAATTTAGGTTGAAAGGGACCTCCAGAGATTTCTACTCCCACATTTCAAATATGCTCTTATATGAAGAGGATGGAGCCAGCCTTTTCTTATTTCCTTTAAAGAATACACAAGGCTTTTTGTGGGGTGGTTTTTTGTTTAACATCAGTATTGAGCACAACACCTTCCTGTAACAGTTCATGCAATAAAAGGGAGTTTATGCTCCAGTATTTGAAAACATATGCCTAGGGAAAAAAGAGAAAGAGTTTTCTTGCGTTTTAATATCTTAATACGGGTTTTGAAATTTGGACTGAAATCTAAAAAGAAAAATAAGGGAAATGGCCTCCAAAACTTTGCTGAAACTGTATGAAACAGGGCACCTAAGCTGTTCAGATTTTTCAAGTATCTTATCCCACAATAATAAACCTACTGAATTGGGTATCAAATGTTAAAATCAAAGAATCCTGGAATGAGATAAGCAACAAAGACCTGAACATACAGACCTTGCCATAGACAGTGATTATTAGATCAACTAAAACAAATTAGCTCACCCATAAACAGTATTTCAATGCTTTATAAAGGACAAAGCCATCTGAAATAGCCAGCAAAGACTTATTTCTTTCAGCAGAAAATAATTCTCCTGAAGAACCAGCAGTACGAGTCTAACAAGATCCATGAATCAAGGTAATTTCGTCTTCTCCACTTCACTCCTGCGTGCCCAGTAGTCATATTGAAAAAAAGTTATTCAACATCAGGCTTACCGTTGGTAACTACCACACACACGGTTCCATTTTGTTTTAATAAAAGAAAAGAAAACAAAACATAATGCTCCCGTTCTTGACTCTTACCTATTGCTTGGAAGGGAATCCGAGACTGCCGAACTGCTATTATTAGCAGACCCTGCTCGTGTATTTACCTGCAGGCAGGGAAAGAATCTTTATCAGTCGTTTGTGTTCAGAGGACACTATTCTAATTAACCTGTAATTTGCCATGAATTTCTCATTTCACTACGAAGGTTAATTAGCTTGTTGCTAGGCATGCCGATGGTTGAGGTCTCGCCTGTATGTAGGTTAGCAGGCTATATAATTCATGGACTACAATACACTATCTTTACATCTTAAACGCTTAGTTAAATAATACAGAAAAAGAGATGATGTGTCCACCATTTGTTCTAATTTTAAAAGCTAAACAGTCATTTAATGTATTTGTAGTCTTCTGCATTTCAAAATGGGTATGATTACAGAAGCAATAAGCATACCTGAATGAATCAAACAACCTTCCACACTTAGATAAATTACTAAAATCAAATTAATACGGTGGGGTTTTTTTTAAACTCTTTGAAGTAGTAGCAGACATTAGTTGATAAACTGAATATTAAAATTTAGGAACCTTATTAACAGAGGTTAAAAACAAAAAGAAAGGCAATTCCATTTTTAATAAAACTGTATATATAGATATCGCAGCCAACACCCAGCAGATGAATCCTTCTCCCACCCTCACACACACACACAAAAAAAATTAAAAAAAAAAAATCTGCTTGTCAGAGCTCAAGAAAGTGCAGTTTTATTTGACATTTCAATAAGTGGAACACAGCATTACAAATCCATCTAACTTTACTGAAACAATTATTGAAATTCGTACCTTCAGGCCATGTATGTTCCGTTTCCCAGGAGGCTTGCAGGCTGAAACAGTAATTGACTAAATTGTAGAACACATCAGGGCCATTTACAAATTTGCTCAAAATGAATCTTTTAAAAAGAAATGAGGGTGACACCAAAATTAGCAGAGAGAAATGATTGAAAAGTGCCTCACAAGACCCAGAGTGGGAATTATGAACCAGGATTTTTAACTTGCAGGAGTGAGCATTTATAAATGCTAAGAGCTTTCTGACACCATGTAATATAAATTCTAATTTCTGCTTAAAACACATCAAAATCAAGAGAACTATTGGCTTCAATTATCAGATTCTTTTTTGTAATTCAAATTAAAATCAGTATCTTATGTCACTATATTTTCACATGCTGTATCTTTTCTGGCATTTAACAGAAATATTTGCAAGATGTATTTTAAAGGAATCAGTGGCCACACGTCACGAATTAGTCAGATTGTCAAACGCAGACAGTTTGTTTTAAATGTGGAAAAAACACATCAGGGGCACCAGCATGAGTCTCAGGAAACCAAATACTGGATAAATGCAATACAAAATGCCACATTTTGGACACAGATGTACAAACGTGGCGTCTTATTATGATATCTAGGTTTACAAAGGGAGGTGCTGCTTGAGGAGAAAGTATTTTCCTAAAGTCTCTCGAACTATATATTGCCTCGTTCTTCCGTTCGGTGGATGTGCTTTTGTCAAATGTTAAAGCCACAAAGGCTTCTAGCTACATGTTACAGACAGTTCCCATTTTAAGACTACAGTGCCCTACAAATTGTATGTTAAAGGGCCTGTCACTTTTGATTGATTGTCTGAGGAGGGATGAATTTGATTTTTCTCTTTCTCTGATGCACATACATTTCACTTCAATTTTTGACAGCAGGAAACAGAACTATTTATTAGTCAGAAGGACACAGATGATAGTTATTAAACACATCAGTTAGGGCCAGGCCATGTGCCTTTAAATTACATTAGAATGTGCATCTTAAAGAGGAAAAATATTATGATACTCCGGGCATTAAAAAAAACCCAGAAAACAATAAACTATTCTAAAATACATCTAAGCATATTATATTTTTCCAATAGATTAAAATCAACATTTTGAACAAGATATTAAAAGAATAATATTTTTTATGATATATATTTGAATGGTATATTCACCTTGCATTCCACAGATGGGATTTATATATAATATAGACAGGATATATATACATATGCATATGCACACACTCTCTTATTTATATATATGCATACAGAGGTTTATTTTCACCATAAAAAAAAGAACTCTGGCTCCTACCACCTAGACAGCAACAATACTTTTTTTTTTTTTTTTTTAGATAGACAAAATACCATTTTTTTCCCCTTAAAGATCTTTAAATTATCCAATGGATACAGGACAGCCAAGGTAACACAGGATGGCACACAGGCATTTACTCCTGGCAGGCTTTATGGAAAACAGGAGTTTTCAGAAGCTGACTGGAGACAGCAACTGGGAGGCTTCCTCAGAAGTAAGAGAGGCAGAAAGGGAAAAGGACTCAAAGGAAGATTAGGCTTGCAAAGGAAGCTCTTAAAAAGGGAGAACCTTTAAATTACAGGCAGAAAAGCTGCACGTTACTGACGGGTCTTTAAGCTGCAGTACGCAGAGACAGGGCCAAAAGGGCATGAAAGGAAAGTGCTTGCGCTAACAAAATTTGGGTCGTTCATTGGAGAGGCAGGACTAGAACTTTAAATGCCAGAAGACAGAAAAACAACGCAGGAAAGTGCATGTTGTTCGATATTGCAGAAGAGCAGCAGCAGAACTTAAAGGCAGTCGGGGTATGAGGGGAGCGCAGGGAAGCTTTAAAGCTGGAGCCTAGGAAGAATCGGTGTTTTAAGAAGGCGGTTTGGAAAGAAGCAACAGCAACTCGGCTCCGAAGCAATTCGGAGTAAGGGGCAAGCCACCTACGAGGAAACACCCAGCAGACACGTGTGCAGTTGAGCCAATGGTGAAAATATGGAGATAATACATGGGGATCGTATCCTCAGCAGCATGGAGGCGAATTCTGAATCTGTACGGACAAAGATTATCCTTGGATGCAAAGGAAACAGAAAAAGGGGAAAGCAGCAGGAGCAGGAATCTGCTTGGCTGGTTCTTCAGCAATGACCCGGAAGGAGACTCTAAAAGAAGGTTAAGCCTGATTTGCAACCTCAAAATATCCCTTTAAACACTCAGGCACGCCAGCTCCTGAGCACCTCCTGCCACCACTTCCTCCAACTGTGTGCTTAAGGGGAAATATATCTAATTGCCTTCTAGATTTCCAAGAAGGGTTTCCCACTATCAGGATCATCCACTGTATCAGTTTCTCCAAGCCACCTGAAAGCCTGGCATTTTCTTTCTTGCAAGGGGCAGTCAGTGTGTTTAGACAGAGCGTACGTCAGTAATTAAATGGCTTTCTGCAGGCAGCGGATCAGGAGAAAGGCCGAGACCCTCGCAGCTCAGCCCGGGAAGAGGCAAGGCGGCAGCGCGCAGCTCCCCGCTCCACGGCCGTCCTTGCACGCGTCTCACGAGAACGCATCCCGACCGCTGACTGCAGCCCTGCGGCTCGAGTATCGGCCAGCCCCCACTCTCAACCCGATCCTGTTAGGCTGAGCCATAAAAAAGAAATAACCTCCACATTCCCCCGCTCCATATTCCCCCGGAATTCAAGTCTCTTTTCCGTAGCAGCGTACGAAACTACCAGGAAACCCAGCCTCCTTTTGAGACCTTATTAGCACGTGTTTGAGAAGGCTGTTGGTTAATTGCCCAATTCAAACTTCAGAGAGTTGTAAGTAATGGAAGGCTAGAATGTTTAATTGGGAAACTCATAGTATGATTATTTGTATAATATCAGTTAAGTGAGAAGAGTTTAATTTTTAATTATTTCAATTAATTTATTGCTGGGAGATTTACTTGGAGAATTTAAACCTTATCGTTTCATCAATTAAAAACCAGAGATTCAAAGACTGGATAGCGAGAGCATCTGAATGAATCAGCAGAATTATGTAACGTATTAGTCTTTTTTTTAACCACTATTTGAGTTCAGAGAGCGCAGTGCATTCCCCAAAACCTAACTGCCTACAGATTTTTGGTCAGGATGCGGATGACCTATTTTTTAATTGCCTCAGCCCACATAATTGATTACATCTTCCCTGTTCAGGAGAACTATTAAACTACTCGCGATCATTTTGATACCACTAAGTGCCCAAATCTCAACTAAAATATACCACGTATAGAACTTACATGCATTGAAAGCTTTTAACAAAACCCAATTTTCGTAAGTATCCAAAACCTAAGTTATTCATCTGCTTTGGTTTGAATACATGCAGAACCATCACCAATGAGTTTTTTAAATGTACTTAAGTATGTACTATGCAAACTGAATCTTGTTAGTCTAATTTACTCCAGTAAATTAGCTATTTTATATGCAATAAATGTAGTTTTCACTACACTCCTCACAATAATGAATTCTTCTATCCAAATTAAGAGGTAAACATCACGTTATGTGCATTTAAACCTCCCAAAAACATAACTGTTGATGAAACAGTTCACTGATATCATCATTGTTGATTAGAATTTGTTAAGCATTACCTCTTGGATATATCTGTAGAGGCTCTATTAACTGTCCATTTACTTGCTGTTCCATTACAGTGGAGTAATACTGCAAAGAGATTAAAGAAAAAGATTACTCAGTAATGTATGAATAGTAGTAAGAGCACTTACGGATTGTTTAATTCAGTGTATTTTTTTTTTAAATTGCCATGGTACATATCAGCCTTTAGAATGTTTTCTTACCATTTGCAATGTTCACACAACCAAGTGGCAGGGAGGAACAGGAGCAAGGGGCGTACTGACTCCAGCACAGGGATCTGTTACTGGCTCAGCTAAGCAAGTTTCAGGCCCACCTGAAAACTGGGAACGCTTTAGAAGACTGAGCAAAATGAAGCATTTACAGCAAACGCAGCAGTTGCCGCACCTGGAGAAGCCAGGAAAACCAGTCAAATGTGGAAACAAAGAAACGCTGTAAATATAGTCCAAAACTGTGCAATTAGGAGAACTCCAAGGGAAAAAAAAATTTGGAAAGTATCCAAGAATTTGCAGTGATGAAGCACCGTCAGGGCAGTTGGGGCCACATCCCACATAAGCGGAGATGTCGTGCATTCTGTTAGAATACAAATTTGATGCACAGCAGGGTATGCAAACCAGCGTTACTGGGAAGCCACTGCAGATGTACGGAGACCTTGGGCTCTACAGGGACTGCTAGGAGCGATCTGCGGGGGGAAGGTTAGTGACAAAGAAAGGCTAAGAATGGACAAAAAGGGATGCAAAAGTATCTGAGAACATCAAGACCCAGGAAGACAGAAAATATCTGATGTGGTATGAGGAAGCCTGAGAGGTGGCACGAGGATGAAGAGCAGCATTAACTGAAGAAATAAACATTTGGATTAAATAAATCAAAATCTTTATTAGCCTTTCATAACTGACCCTCATTCCTGAGGAGGGATGAATGCTCACCAGACAGGACATTTAGCATGTCCAGACAATCCTGGGGCAGGAGACAGACCTTGCTACGAGTTTACTGTCTATAACCCACAATCTCTCATCACGATGTGTTAAATATTGAAAGCACATCACAAAGCACGTTTCTTTTGCAATTGCCGAACATCTTTGAAGCAAACACGCTGGCTGTGGGCCAGATCTTCATGGCATAAATCAGTGTAGCTCCACTGACTTTCATGCTAATTCTCACCAGCCGAGTGTGGTCTAAGACTTCAGCATGTCACTGTTACCAGTGTTTTGTGATACTATTACTCAAACTGGCAAGAAGGGATGTCAAGAAGAAAAAAAAAATTCTAAGTCTCTACGGAATCAAACACATGTATTTCACTCACACCAATGGTTTCCCATAACGCAAGCATTTTTTACTTATGCAACTTAAAGACAAAAGTTTAACTACCTAATGTTACAAAACATTCTTCTTTCC